GACTCAGTCGATGCACGTGTTCGAATCAGCTCAGTACTCATGGTTGTAGTACTTTGGAGACGAGCAAGTATCTGCTCTCGACATTTTGATAGTGTTGACGATATCGTGCAAGGCGAAAGCATTAGTGACGGAACGAGGAGAAAATTGTAACTTCCGACCGAGACCAGAAGCAAAGCAGAGTCCACACCCGTTTCTACATGAACTATCTAAAACAGCAGACTTGTCGATCATGTCTCGACAAGTAGTTGTCTCTGCCACTCTCTTTTCCATGTGCATTTGAAGCACCAGGACCTTTGTCCGTGTGGGAGAGATGATGCGTTTGTGGCGCGGAGATTGTGCACGCTGCTCATATGTTGCAGCCGCACGCATGTCTACAACTGAATGCGCTCAAATCCGCTGTTAGTGAGTCTTCATTATACGTTTACCCGTCAACAGAGACACTGATGGTTCGATTTCCACATGAAGAGTGTGCAAGTCCAAACGACATAAACTTGTACACTTCTTGGTCGTTCGATCAACATGATGTCCCTGAGAAGAAGCCGCGCTCGACATCCGTGAGACGCCTGGCTGCAATCATTTGCGGAATAATGGTGCTCGTTGCTGTCATTGTCGCGGTGGGCGTGACGTTGACTGCCGATTCAAGCAGTTCTGGCGATACGTCGAGCTCGGGTGGAAGTAGCGCGACTTCCGCTGCATCGTCTACTCGGCTATCGTCCTGCCCTCCTGTCGCCGCCAAAGACCGGACTGTAGCATTCTGGCAAAGCGAAGTTGCTGGATGTGACACCGTTCCGGATGGCGTCACTCACTTGATCTTTGGCTTTGCACTTGTCGCAGAAGGCGTTATCGTGCCCACGTTCCAGTCGTCCGATGACCACATTACACAATGCGTGAAAACCCTCCACGAGCGCTGCATTTCGACACTGGCGAGTGTTGGTGGGTCAACTAACAACGACAACATGTCGGTAATTGCGAACGCGACGCTGTTTGCTGAGTCAGCCGTCAATCTAGTGACGAAGTTCGGGTTTGCTGGCTTGGATTTCGACGACGAGACTGTTGGGGTGCAGTTTAGTGCCGATCGAACGATTGAGCTGCTGAAGGCTACACGGGAGGCGCTGGACGAAAGTGGTGGTACTTCGTCGGCTTTGCTGACCTACGATGCCTATTTCAGCGAAGGAGACCTCGCAGTATGTTCAGCAGTCGACGCAGCAGTATACTCGAGATGCTTTCCGACAAAGGTGCTCGACTACGTGGATTGGATCAACATTATGGCGTACAACGTCCATGAAGACGATGCCACTGCAGCAGCAATATACGCGGCGGCTGAGAATACTACTTTTGCAGCGTGGAAGACTCAGTTAGGTGGCGATTTTTCCCGCGCTACGGTTGGTCTATGTGTAAAGGGTGGATGTGCCTATGGTCCGGGGCCGAATGCAACAGTGATTAACGAATGGGAGAAGTTTGGCCGCCAGGATGGACACGGGGGTATGATGATATACTCTGCATCGGCAGAAGTAGGCGATAATTTTGCAGTTACCAGGAGCATCATTCGCTCGTCGTAAGCAACGGGCAGCACTTCGATCAGCTTTGCATTTGCTCCGGAAGCAAATCTCAGCTATAAACATGACGGAATGGTGAGTCTTGCACGGCAAGCGGTATAGTTGGTAGGACACTTGCTGGCTCAACAGTCAATCCCATAACTCCAAATGTGTCGGCAGTTGTAGCGTAACATTTCTACATATACCACATAAACTGTGCATTAATCGACATCGAAACAGGGTTTCACGGGTGCCTTACGTGCGCTCTCTACACTTTCTTGCAGCCGCAGTCGCTAAGGATGGCGTCAAAACATCAGAGCGTCCGATTTTCGTATTGCAGTCGCCTGCGCATGTCGTTTGTACTCCAGCAGTTAAGACCGTTGTTGTACATCTCGTATGCTACCTCTTATATCTCATCAATCACCAGTTTATCCTGAACGGGCATAGTGCTTTCCAATACGTTTACGGCAAACTCTTTAATCTCTTTGTATAAGCGTAATACAGCGTGCATCCTTTTCTTCACGGCGAGCTGCTAAGTTTCGCCCTATGAATTGCGGTACAGAGGTAGAAGCCGACTTTCGTAACTCAAGTTCCTGCAGAATTTGTTGTCGTTGCATAGCACCGAAACTGAGTCCATCAGTGCAAAACAGTCTCGAACGCTGTAGTTTGTACGTAAGCAACGCGATTGACGAAGGTGCAACATCAAAGGCACAACTCATGATGTAACATATTGTGTGTAGCTTGCAGTCCGTGCACTGCCGAAAGTCGGATGAACGTGAAGGAGCAGCCTTTTTCACATCCATAAACTGATACCTAAGCAGGGCAAACAAAGCTTCGTGTCCGTGGCCGTGTCTATGATTGAACGCCACGTCAATTCGCACGAGCTCGTGTGCGTGCTTCTGGATCCGCGTGTCGCCGGCGCCGGTCTTTCAGTCGCTGGCAAGCGGCGCGTGAAATCCTTAGTTGTCCAACTAGCGGAACGCGTGTTTCCAAGCGCAGGATACGGCAGTGGTGCTGTTCGCTCTCAGCTGTTGAACGAATTGGGCGATTACGCAGAGAGAACGGGAGTCTTTTCCGACGTCGTCGCGTGGGAAATGACTGTCGGTCGGCCCTCGACGCTGTTCTGGAACGACTTTGTCGAGGATGCGCCGCACTTGACTCGCGTAGCCCGTGCCGTCATTTCGATCTCACCGTTCGCACAGACAGCCACCGAGTCGTTCACCGCTCCGCTTCCGCAAGAACAGTGTTCGTATGACCAGACGTTCGCAGTGCAGCAATTGAAAGCTCTGACTCGCACCCGTCGATTAACGCAAAGCACAAGTGGCTTCAAGCAGTACATCTCGCTGTTGTTCCCTCCATCTCCGTTGCCACAAGGCAGCGTGTCGGACAGTATGCTGTCGCGTGAAGTGGCCAACGCTCTTCGAGGGAACAACACGCTGCGATGGTCCGCACGTGACGAGACCAGAGCCGAAGCCATCGTCGTGCATCAACTGCGTCAAATACTGCAAGCAGGAGGCGACGACAACGACAATACTCAGAGCAGCAAACAAGTGCCGACCCCATTGCCAGCGGCCACGACATAACACGACCCGCTAGACGTCGGCGTCTCGTGGTTTGCGTTCCAGTCCGTCAACGACCTCAACGTCTTGGAAAACACTCTCAAGAAGTTTGTACAACGTCCCGCCGCCGCCGCTATCGTCAATTAGCACCTAACGTCCATACCGCCAGCAGCGCAATAGCCCCACGCGTCGAGCCACATCCAAGTCGAGCCACGTCCGTGTATTAGTTCTCACAGTCTCCAACGTCGCGTGTCCCAATGCAAGTGTCCCGGACTACGTGTCCCGACTCAAGTGTCCCAAGTCGCGTGTCCATCGATCTCTTCCATCCACGGACTACGCGAGCACAGGCTTTGGTCGGGAGGCGAACACGACGCGCGTGCGGGCAATGCCCACGACTTCGTACTGGACCTGTGCCGCTGCTGCTCCGACACTGCCGTCGGTCGTCCCGTCCATCGCGTGACTGGCGTCGCTCTTGTGCAGGATCGCAAACGGTTTTGGCAGAGTTTGCACTGTGCCAGTCAACACGTGCGTCCCAATGCGCAGCGTCAGTACGCCCGCGTGTCCGAAACGAAGTGTCCCAATGTCCACCCCCTGCAGGTCCAGCGCGCCCTTGCCGCCACTGGGGAGTAACTCGCCCTGGAACTCGAGCAAACTCCACTCGCACCCCGCAGCATCAACAAGCACAGGCACCAGCATTGCTTGGGTCCGCTCTGTTCGACAAACGCTGTCCGAGAGGAGCTGTCTCTGGCCCGCGAGCGATGAAGACAACAGGACAATGCGCTAGCGATTGTACTGCGAAATTTGATGTTCGGTAATTGTACAACTACTGATGGAAAGTTTGGTGATAATTCAAAAAAGAAGACTGGAGAATTCTTGATCTTCGTTTCGACCATAATTGCAACATTCACATCTCTCCAAAATGCCAATATCAAGGCCGAAAACTACTGAGTTACGACAGCATTATACACGGCAGCACCAGCAGAGACCGATCCAGCAACGTCTAAACAAGCAGCTTGCGGCAACGACAGACCTCGCAACATCATCGCTGGCACCTCAAGCCCAGCAACATCAGCTGAAACGATGACAGCGCCTCCAAATCGGCACCATACAAAGCAGCACCAGCAGCGACCGATCCAGCAGCTACCGATCAAGCAGCGACCGATCCATCAACGTCCAAACGAGCAGCTCGTTGGCAACGATAGACCTAGCAACATGATCGCTGGTTTGATCAAGCCCACAGTTCCAGCTGTACCACTAGCACCGATAGCACCAGCAACGATAGTCGATTGGTTTCCAGCAAAACCCAACATGCAATCCAACAACGAAAGCGAAAAAGTCTTATTTTACACAATACTACCGTTAAGCAGATCTTGTTTTTATCTCTAGGTAGCGTTCATCATACATGCAGTCGACGACGTCAAATTCCTGTTCAAGTTCTGGGTGATCGTCTCACGCGTTTTGAGATCAAAGTCACGAACGCCTTGGACCCATTTTCCGCTCTACGATTACGGATGACGAATCCAGTAGATATCGCTTCCTCTGCTAATAAACAAATAAATAAACAAATGTTATCATGACGATAAAATAACAAGCAACAAAACAAAGAGGCAGAAACATACTGCTCGCCCACCAAGAGATTCTAACAAATGACGGATATCTGCTTCGACGTAGGCGTTCCTCAGCGCGTTCCCATTGCCTACAAGTTGAAAAGGCATCAATTCCCTCGCGCCTTCTTTGATCGCGATCGTGACGGCGCTCTGCACTTGTGTTCTCTGGCCGGCCAAAATCCTGACATCGTGGACCAATTATTCCTTCTCTCTACGACTAGAGAGATGCCGTACTCCTTGCTAGCTCGAATCGGGTGGGCCATCATGCGCTCTTCCAAGTTATCAATCCTGTAACGCATCTAGATGTGCACGCCACCCAATCTGTCCAGTTTCTTGTCTACAGTGGTGATCAACTGGTTGTTACATTCGATGAGGCGGATGCGTTCGTCGTGATGTGTGTAGATCAGGAGATTGCGTTTAAAGTTATGCAGCTCATTTGCGAGCATGCGTTCAGCCGTGCATCCATCGCGCTGTATTTTCGTCTCTTCGTGGGGCTCTGCGAGCTTAGCCGCGTTTCCATCGCACTCTCTTTTCATCTCCTTGTGGAGCTCTGCGAGGTCAGACGCGTGTTCACCGCGCTCTCTAGTCAGGTTCTCCTCAAGCGCTGCAATACGCGTACGTCTCATGGTCTCCTCCATAACAGTCAGTTTGTCTGCGTGCGAGCTGTGAAAAGGTGAAGTGGAGTTTTTAACTAAGTATGTTCCGGGATTATTTAAATATAAGCTACAGTTTGGTCTAACTCACCTGAACGATATTGCCTATTTTGTGTCCAAGACAAAAGTTAGTTTCAATTTTACCAATGCACAAACGGTATGTAGCAATTTTAGTATAGCATAAGAACATTTAGCTTATACAAATATATGGTCCCCAATCAGTCTGGAATGAGTAATCCAGACAACATCCCTAATTTTATCTGACGATAATGCTTTAAAATCACCTACACTTCTTAATTTGCATACCATTCCGTAATAATTTTAAGGAGAAGCCGGGCTAGTCGTTCCTAGGTTGTCTAGCATTATAACCGTATCACCAGCTCACGGGGTGACCTAGTCAGCATGGAACTCGGCTCAGCCACTGCTGAGGTCAGGAAGCGCTGCAGAACCTGGAGAAAGAGGAGTCACAAATCCCCCCTTAATCACCATCAGTGTGGGCCAAACACTAATTCCTGGGCCACTATATCTAAACAGAAGAGAACGGGACCCAGCCGGCCATGTCGGACACCGCGACAGGCAAAGACAACAGGGCGCGGGATATCGGCGCGGAGTGCGCCGGTCGGCTAGGCGGGGGCGAATTTATTGGCGGAGCTAGTCCTACCCACAGAGGGTCCTCGTCGACTACCTCATTGAGTGATGCGTGTGACTTTTGTCATTGGGGCGTTTGCAGCGTTCAGCAAGCGCCGCTTCGTCGGCTAGCAATTCGGACATTTCGCGGTTTCAGGCAGACACTGCAGGTCCGGCGGGAGTGTTCGAAGCCACTTTGCACTCCCTCGCTTCGACTAATACGCACCCTGTTCTCGGGGACACGCATCGGAAGCGACATGAGTCTTAATCAGAATTCTGAGGACGTAAAGGCTCAGCCTCCCCCACCATTAGCGCGATAGCGATGTTTCGGGCTGTCACGGCAAAATTACGAGCCTAGCCAGAAGCGGAGGAACGGGCTTCCTGGAAGACTACCGTAGGGGCGTTATTTGCTGGCGTCTTCGAATCAGTGAAGATCAATCTGGACCTTGTGCCGCCGGCCAAGAAATTCTATCTGAAGCTGAAGTGATGGAGTCATCGCTTCTCCTCAGCTTTTTTGAGCAAGTGAGTGTCGTGGATCGATGTTCCTTCGAGCAATGGTGCAGAAACGTGCGGAAAATGGGTCTCGATTTGTATAATACGACGTGGTCGCTGTCGACTATTGCGGCGAGTATGACGAGTGAGGTCAAATGGGCACGTCAACAGTTATGAACTAATGGGCGGCGACAGTAACCGGGCGGGCTGCACCAGCCATCTCGGCGGAGCCACTCCCGGTTCGAGAAAATTATCAGCAGTTTATGTTTAATTCGGAAAGTTCGAGGCGGCTGCTATAGCCCGGCTCCGCTCACTGTGTGAAGCGCAGGACGCGAGCTACACGTGATCTATGCTTCGGGATGGTACGGAGGAGGAATAGGAAATTATTCAGGGTTTGGCGGAGGGCCACGGCTCGAGCCGGTCATGCTCGCACTTCATTTTGAAGGTTTTAAACGCGAATGATCGATTTCGACTCCAGACAACCATTCAGCTGCAAGACTAAGGCGAGCTCTTCTTTTCATCGGCACGACAAGGGGTAATTCCATCTAGTCGACAGTATGCTTAGACAATAAAATAAGATATCCTGCTGGCAGCCGAACGCTTGAAGGTGAATCTTCAGGCATTGCTGTCCAAGCTTAGTCAGGCGAAGGCAATCGGGTACAACTCGGTTCAGAAGTCAATTAACATTCAATTTTTTAATGAACTACGGCGACATAGCTTCAGAACACACTCGTAATTTTCAGGCGAAGGATCTACCGCCATCAAAATCGGCGTGCACCGACTTCTGGTTCAGTGTGGAGCCGCCAAGTGGGAGCCGATGGTACACGCCTCACGATGCAGACGGAGTATGTTATTCGACTCTATAATAAAACGCGCTACCTGGACATTGGCCGCTTTACAGCATTCTTGACGGCTCACGTTTGTACAGACTTTTTAATGTGGAACCTTCGGATACATGTATAACCGGAATCGAGATCATCAGCTCACGTTAGTCCTAAATTTGATCTGGAACCTTTTAGTACATCTACAACTGGACTCGAGGACATCGACGATGTGGCGACTCACAATTAAATTAATAGGCTGCCCCAGTTTTCTTTGGAATGTGATTCGCCTCCTTAGGTTCTGTAGCGGAGCTACACAGCTTCTTAAGTCAGAGGAAGACTTTACGCTCAATGTGCAACTTTGGTTCAAAGAGCCCGACTCAGAGAGTCATCAGCTCAGAGAGCTTAAAGGTTGGTTCAGAGAAC